TCTGTGTGTGTCGCTGTGTGTTTCGTTGTGAAAGCGAAACTACTTTGTTTGGCCTTCACAACGAAAAACACAGCGGCCTAGCGTGAGGGGAAGCCCAGGCTTAGCATGCGCTGAGGCCGGGATAAAGTGAGCTGAGGCGGGCTGGATTCCTCTTCGTCCACGGTGAAAGTTGATGTATTCCCTCGGCGACCAGCACAGATCAGCTCCAGGCGTGACGAAGCGGATATCGTCCTCTTTTGGAAGACCAAACAAAGTAGTTTCGCTTTCACAACGCAGCACACAGCGTCTTCACGACATGGCTGCAGCGTCAACAATACTACAGCGAGAATAAAAGTTACGCCTTCTTTTTTGCGTGAACATTTGGGCGGCGTTATGCAAATCTTCCCACATCGTGACGTAGACATGTGGGGCGTGTTAGAACGAGCCGTTTTAGGTAGGTGTGGCTGACTCTTAACTTTTATAAAGAATATCTCTTTCGATTTGAGACTTTAGTCTTTGCAACTTTACAGATCTTCTTTATGCACCAAGAGCTTGTAACACTCCAAAGAGAAAGGAACAATTGAAATCGCATCATATGATCCCTTTAATATTTTGAAATGACGAATCGATATGTATAATATATTTTATTTTATATTTTCTGTTTTCACTTTAATTTTAGTTAGTTTCAGTCATTTTGTTTTTTTAGTTAATTCTTTTTATTAGTTTTATTATTTCTATATGTCTTTATAACATTTTATTCATTACTACATTGCATATTGTTAACATTTTTAAATTCATTAACATATAAAATATATTTAATTTTTATATTGTCTATAAAGTTATTAAATTGTATTTATTAGTTTTATTAGTTTAGTGCACAGTGTGTTCTTGCATATGTAATGGGCAGTGTTAATAATAATAGCTTATTTAACTATAATGTAATGTAAACAATAATGCATGTTTCTTTTTTTAATGTTTTGACTTAACTAAAAAGAAACAGAAATGTTATGAAAAGACCGCAGCAGATAATAAAATCACTTCAAATAAATTTAAAATAAAAAACTAAAAACCTAAATTTTAAGTATTAATACTTTAAATGGGCTTTTAATAGTACACATAGCTAATACAACTAAAACTATAATAGTATCGCAATGGCACTAAAATCAAACTAAGTGAATCTGGTCGTGAAGTTTTCCACGGTTTAAGAGAGCCATATAAAATAAGAAATATTAGACGAAAAATGAGAAATTAAAAACTTTAAATGACTAAAACCAAAATAAATGTAAACTAAATAGACATATTAAAATAAAATGAATAAAAATTAAAGCACATTAAAGGGTTAATTCACCCCAAAAATGATAATCTTGTCATTAATTACTCACCCTCATGTCGTTCCAAACCCGTAAGACCTTCGTTCATCTTCACAACACAAATTAAGATATTTTTGATGAAATCCGAGAGCTCTCTGACCCGCCATAGACAAAAATATCTTAATTTGTGTTGTGAAGATGAACGAAGGTCTTACGGGTTTGGAACAACATGAGGGTGAGTAACTAATGACAAGATTTTCATTTTTGGGGTGAATTAACCCTTTAAAAGAAATTAATAACATTAAAATAAACTATTAATCCAAAAATTAATAAAGACTATAATAGTATCTCAATGATACTAAAATAACTCATGATGGGTGGAGAAGCAGCAGGAGGACGTTAAACTGTTTCAAAACACTCGATCATATAAAGCCATCAGCGCTATAAGGTGAAACTAAAGCAATCAGGTCACGAAGTTTCCTCCGTTTGAGAGAGTCGTCGTCTCACATTCTGCACGCTTCGCTCTCCTCCTCTGAGCTCAGATTGATTTACTTCATGAGGGCTTTATAAATATAATCCACACCTGAGAACGGCCCAAGGCTTTGATGATCTCTTCTCTGGTGGATAAGCCGCTAATTTCACATTCGCAGCTCTGAATTGGAGTGAAATGGAAATGTGTGTCCAAGGAGAGACGGAGCTGGGACTTCATTTAAATAACTATTGCCTTCAGCTGAATTGTATAATGTAATGACATCTTTACCAACTCCCGCTGCTGCAGAACCAGAGTCGGGTGTCACAGGGATTCGCTTCAGGAACCAGCGGCTCAACCGCTCAACATGCATGACTGCTGGACGACAACTGAATCAGCTACAGAACACTGACAAATGATTCCTTTGAACTGAATCTTTAAAATGATTCGTGCATACATGACTCATGCAGTCTGTAGCACACAAACTTGTGTAGTTTGCACTACTTTTTTATGCATGGAATACTTGGATGACCTTTATTGTTAACTGAAACTAAAATAATAAAAAATCATCTTGACCGATTGAATTAAGGAGAAATAAAATATAAATATTAGATGGAAAAAAAAAAAAATGTAAAACTTAACTTCAAATGAAAACAGAAAATATAAAAATATTCTATATTATATACAAATATTTAAAAAATATATGAATAAAAACTATAGAAGTAAACATTTAAAAACTTAAAGCTGAAGCTAAAATTAAAACCAAAACTGAAAAAAATAAAGCTAAATATAAATCACAAAAAAACTATACAAAAGAGAAAAGCACAAAATAAAATTACTTAAACCTTAATCAAAGCACTAAAATTACTCAAAGTAAAATTAAAATAAATTAGAATGTTTAAATAGAAATTGTACAATAACAAACAAACAAATAAAAATAATAAAAAAAACATAAAAAGAAAAAAGCACATAAAATTAATTGTGCTTTTCAGCAGATTTCAAAAGATATAACTATTATATTTATTATAACATATTTAAAATACTGCACAAATAATTAAACCAACATAACATTTGGACTTTGAGTTATAATGTTTAATATTCAATATTGTATGCTGTATATATATTGATTTTATCATTATATATATGACAGAAGCATGTTGGATATAACTTTCTGATCTTCTGAATTTTAGGTTCCTGATGGCCTAGTTTGTGTCTCCAGAAGAAGCCGGTGAGGAAAAATTGGGCCAAAAAGCAAGAATATCATTACCTAATAATTTCCATGCAGGCAATTACAGCCGCTCTTCTGCTGCTGCGCCGGTGAGCTGAAGATAACTTTCTCTCATTAGCATGCTAATGTGCAAACAGCAGGGTGCGCTGGATCTTCAACATTTTATGACTCACCTCATTACACATTAATGAGATTTAAAAGTGAAGGCAAAATAAAAAATAACTTGTCTTTGTGAAGTTGGAGGGACGTGTTTGAATCATTAGCAGGTGAGTCGCTTCAAACGTAACGATTGGCTCTTACCCGGGTGAGGTGAATGACGCCCTGAGACGTCACAGAGCAGCCCATGAAGCCCACGAACTGCAGATCCGGACAGTTCTCCGCAAACGCCTGCACCGACTTATCCGTCACCTGACAAACACAGAGGAATAAACACCTCAAAACAATGAGACACAATCTGATAAACATTGCATGCATTATGTTTTCCCTGTAACTTGTACTTGAACCAGTTCTGGTGAAAAAAAGCCCTAATTTCAAACAAGCAATACAGGAGATGTCAAATGAATGAATGAAATTGTATATATTATATATGTATAAGGAAACAATTAGGAAATTATATATAAAACAAATGAAATCAAATAATACACACATATAAACAGCTCAGAAATTTATCAAAATATAAATATTAGATGAAAAATGTGTAAATAAGTCAAATGATACACACACAGCTCAGAAGTTAAAAAATAGATGATTAAAAACTTAAACAGAAATTAAAAACTGTTGAAATATTAATATTACTAAAAATAAAGCAAAATATAAATTTTTAAAATGAATTTAAAATGAAAGCACAAAAATATTAAAAACAAAAAGAAATGAAAAACTATAAAGATAAAAAAATTACAAAATATTAATAAAAACTTCGTATTTTTTCTTTTGGTGAGTGTAAAGAGCAAATTTACTTTGATCATTTGTATTGATCTTTAGCTCTAATATTTCTGAAATTAATAAAGATTGTGTTAAATGAAGCACAAAATGTACTGATGAATAAAAAACAGATACACAAATAACTTTTGACAAATGTGACAAAGATGTTCAAATGCAGAAACCTGTTCGGCATTCATTTCACTTCAAACACACTGAAATATGTTTTCTGTTCATCAATGATTCACTTCTGAATGTTTTGGACAATGATGACAATCATTATTGAAATTCCTGAACACACACACACACACACACACAATCACACAGAGAAGGACATCATATCAGACAAACATACAGAATTAATGAAACACAATTTACAGTTAACTGATTTACTTGAAAATTACTTGAAAATTCTGCTTTGGAATGAATGGGAGAATTATGGTCACAGTAATGAATTAAATGGTTCAACTTTGCATATATGTTATTGTAACACTCAGTCA